ATACAAGAACTCGTGGGCACTCAATGAAATTGCTGAGCAGTCGGGTTAGAACGGATAAAAGGAAGTACTTCTTCACTCAAAGAGTGATTAACACATGGAATTCACTGCCACAGGAGATGGTGGCAGCCACAAGCATGGACGGCTTCAAAAGGGAATTACATAAGCATATGGAGCAGAGGTCCATCAGTGGCTATTAGCCACAAGGTATAGATAGGGGCTCTGGGGGAGGTGATGCTCTGTCTTCTTGGTGCTTGGGGGGGTCAACAGTGGGAGGGCTTCTAATGTCCTGGCCCCACTGGTGGACCTCCTAATAGCACCTGGTATTTCTGGCCACTGTGTGACACAGAGTGTTGGACTGGATGGGCCTTTGGCCTGATCCAACATTGGCATCTCTTATGTTCTTATGTTAGAAGGGACCTTAGTAATCTTGTATGGAGCAGGTGAGAGAAGAGAAGAAGAGATTGGATTTATACCCCGCCCTTCACTCGGACTCTCAGAGCAGCTTAAAAACTCCTTTCCCTTCCCCTCCCCACAACAGACACCCTGTGAGGTAGGCAAGGCTGAGAGAGCTCTTTTGAGAACTGCCCTTGAGAGAACAGCTCTGACAGAACTACGGCTTGCTCAAGGTCATCCAGCAGCTACAAGTGGAGGAGTAGGGAATCAAACCCGGTTCTCCCAGATTAGAGTCAGCGCACTTAACCACCACACCAAAGTGATGCCCCCTTAGTTATTATACTGGCAAAGACTGCAAACTCCTTTTCCTTTTTTTTTTGTGGGGCTTATAGGCTGCTTCTTTCAAAATACTACTATAAAATCACAAAATATCAATTTAAAAATGGAACAAGAAATTAGAAAAGCAGAAATCCTTAAAAGTACCAACAGAACAGTTAACAGGCATAAATGAAGCCAGAAGGCCGATCAGCAACCTGCCCCAGATCATGAATTTGGGCAAAGTGGTTTGAATTCACTTTTCATGAGCGGCACTGGAAAAAAGGTTTGCTGGACAGGGGTGGGTGATTTCTATACCTTTAAGGTAAAGGGTAAAGGTTCCCTTGCTCGAAAGCCAGTCAAGTCCGACTCTAGGGTTGCGGTGCTCATCTCCGTTTCAAAGCCGAAGAGCCAGCGCTGTCCGAAGATGTTTCCGTGGTCATGTGGCCAGCATGACTAAACACCAAGGTGCACGGAATGCTGTTACCTTCCCACCGAAGTGGTACCTATTTATCTACTTGCAATTTCTTGCTTTCGAACTGCTAGGTTGGCAGGAGCTGGAACTAGAGACGGGAGCTCACTCCGTCATGCGGCAACTTGGGTCTTGAACTGCTGAACTACTGACCTTCCACAGCCTGCAGTTCAGCGTCTTAACCACTTGCGCCACCGCAGCTCTATACCTTTACATACCATTAAAACAAAGCATTTAAAAAACACACACACACACACACACTAAACCCAGCACATTTACAGTGGACTAACTTTTTAAAAATAAGACTCCAACACATGTTTTTAAAAGTACAACACAAAATATAGCAAAGTCAATGAACAACTGAAGTTATTCTGTAAAAACGAAGAATCTCCTCTAGAACTCACAACTCTTTCTCAATCAGTTTAATATTTTCCTCACACTCTGAAGTTTGTCAGATTCTTTCTTTGTCAGACTGAAGTGTGAGGTGAGAACTTTCTCAGTCACCTCAGAGAAGGCGCAATTTCAGTGGAGGAATTCAAGGGGCCTCTAAGAAAACATGTGGTGGGTGCCATTTTTAGTGGTGTCAACAACCCAGAAAAAAATGCCTTGTCCCTGAGGAGAGGTTTAATGTGTGGAAATGGACAGGGGAAACTTGTCATGGCATGGAGGGAAACAATATCACCTGCTTTAAAACAAAAATCAAACCACTACTAAGGGGGAAAGACTTTTCCCCCCTCAAGGCTATTGGCAACCCTGATCAAGTCCTCAGCAGTATTCAGATCATGAGGGGAAAGTTGGTGTGGCCTTAAATGAAACCTGTAAGACCAATACACCAAACCCAACCAATTTCTGCCCACCCCGCTTTGTAAAAACAGTATCTGTGGGGGCTGTCGGAAAAGTCAGAGTGGTAGGTCCCCTGTCCCCCCCCCCCCGTGATTTAAACACAGGCCCTCAGCAGAAAGAGCACTCAACTGTCACTCCCGGTGGCCATTTTGATCCTCACATTCTCTCAGGCCTCCCTGCCAGGAAAGAGCCATTCACAAACTGTGGATGCTGGCTAGTCACCTGCCTTATGTCAGTAACAGAAGGGATCAAGATATCTAGTATCATCAACCAGCCTATTCGTTCCTCAGATATGGTAAATAACATTTTTTTGGCCAGCTTCTTAAAAAGACAGAAACTTGGCAAACTTGGCAAACTTCCTTAAGCAGGGAGTTCCACAGACATGGAGCAACCACTAAAAAGGCTCTTCGTTGTGTAAGTCGTTTCTGAGCCCTCAACACGCTGGGCAATTGAAGCAGAGTCTCAATGGATGATGTAAGAACATAGGGTGATTGATGGGCAAAATTTTACCCCTGTGGGAATCCTTTGAGGAATATAAAGATTAGATCTCTGGCTCAAGCTCTTGCCACCTAGGGAGCATTTAAGAGGTTCCTCCTCTGTGTGCGTTCCTTGATGGTTAAGGGGGGCAAAGCTGGTCTTGAATCTCCTCCCTCCCTCAGAGCACATCCTGTTTCCTCCCTGTATGATCCATTTGAAGTTTCAATCATGGTTAAAGCTTCTTCCACAATCTTAGCATTTATACTGATTGTCCAAAGTGTGAACTTTTGCAGTTTCTGTAGTTAACAGTAAGGTTTCTGGGCAGACGCAGGTTCATTTTACACTCCAAATGTTTTATATAGTTTTATCCCTGCGTGGATTCTGATGTGATATTTAATGCGGGAAATGTGCAAAAAGCTCCTGTCACAGGCTGAGCAGTTATATAGTTTCTCTTCATGTGGATTTTTTCATGCCGTTGAAGATGGTAGCTTGTCCTGAATTTCTTTCCACACACTGAGCATTCAAAAGGTTTCTCACTGAGGTGGGTAAGTTGATGCTTTTGAAGATGGGAGGCCGCCCTGAATTTCTTTCCACATGCTGAGCATCCAAAAGGTTTCTCACCAGTGTGGATTCTTAGATGCTGTTGAAGATGGTAATTATGACTGAATTTCTTTCCACACTCCAAGCATTCAAGAGGTTTCTCGCCGGTGTGGATTCTTAGATGCCGTAGAAGATTGCAGCTCTGACTGAATTTCTTTCCACACTCTGAGCATCCAAACGGTTTCTCACCAGTGTGGATTCTTAGATGCTGTCGAAGATGGTAATTATGACTGAATTTCTTTCCACACTCCGAGCATTCAAGAGATTTCTCCCTTCTGTGGATTCTTTCATGCTGTTGAAGATGGTAGCTCTGACTGAATTTCTTTCCACACTCTGAGCTTTCAAAAAGTTTCTTATCTGTGTGGATTCTCTGATGCTGCTGCAGTTCGCTACTCCAATGGTAGCTCTTTCCACATTCCAAGCATTCAAATGATTTCTCACCTGCATGACTTCTTTGATGACACACAAGGTGTAATTTCTGTAAAAATCTCTTTCCACATTCAGAGCATTCGAACACTTCATCTCCTGTGTGGATTCTTTGATGCTGTTGAAGATACAAACTCCATCTGAACTTCTTTCCACACTCTGAACATTCATATGGCTTCTCTTCTGGATGCCTTCTTTGGTGGCGTATAAAGTTTGCTTTACGTGAGAAGCCCTTGCCACAGCAGTTATACGGTTTCTCCCCTGTGTGGATTCTGAGATGTGTAACAAGTTCTTTTGGGCACAGGAAGCTCTTCCCACACTCTAAGCAGCAATGTGTCTTCTTTCCACTGTGTGTTTGCGAATGGAAATCATATTCAGTTTTATTTGATAAGTGAATGCCGCACTCCAAACATTTATATGTTTCCTCTGCCATGTGAACTGCTTCACGGATATCCTCTCCATGGTAAGGAGTGGAATCATCCATCTTCTCCATTTCATGGCTGCCCTCCTTCCCCTTTGGTCCACCTTGATTCCTGAAGTTTCCTTTCACTTCTCGCTTGGCTTTGCCCGATGGCAACCCATGCACTTCCTCATCTTCCTTATTCTCCTGATCACCCCCTGTGGGAATAAAGAGAGAGATTTCATTAGCACCCATGCAAGGAAGTCTGATCTGCACTTAAAGTTCTTTCTACACTCAGCGCACTTCAGTGGCTTTTTCCTGCTGTACTCTGAAGTGTTCATTAATGGATACTTCAAATGTACACTAAATCTGCAGCATTAGAGAAGCTCATTGTACAGTCCCGTTTTTTTAAACAGCTCATCACCTGTGTGAATTTTTTGATGTGAAATAAGGGCTGTTTTCCGACTGAAGCTCTTTCCACACTCCAAGCAATGATATGATTTCTCTCCTGAGTAAATTTGCTCCTGGGAGATAATGTCTGTGCTCTCAAGGAAGGTCATCCCAAATGCCATGCTTTGGTTTTCTTTTTCCCTGGAGTGGATTCTTTGGTCAGCACTGAGGCCTTGGTTACCTTTTTTTTGGCTTGGCCTTTCTTCTTGGACTGGGATTTCAGAGAATCCCCCTCCTTGGCGAGGAGTGGGTTTATCCCTCATCTTCTCTGCGTGGCTTCTGTCCTGCCTCTGTGGTCCATCTCCATCCATGAAGTTTCCTTTGGCCTTTTGATTCTTGGATTTTTCCAAGGAGAACCCCTGGAATTCCCCAACCGTCTCCTCAACATCTCCTGCTGGAATAAAAGGACAGATCCAATCAGCATCCATACAAGAAGTCAAGCCACCAATCAGACACTCCTCATCAATGGGTGTGCATTTTTGTTCCCTTCATCAGAGCCTCTTTCTCCCCTCCACTCAAACTGAGCAGCCAGTCACATCTTTTCCCTGGCCAGGCTCTTTGGTAGAGCAATATTTATATTCTGTCACCTTCCCCAAACTCCCCATATGTACTTTAAGGGGGAAAATGAGGCTGAAGATTCCTCCCTCGGCTTTCATATTTGACTTGTGGGCATGTCTTCTGATTCTCTACAATCGATGGTTGAATATAAGAACATAAGTGAACATAAGAGAAGCCATGTTGGGCCAGGCCAATGGCCCATCCAGTCCAACACTCTGTGTCACACAGTGGCTAAAACCCAGGTGCCACCAGGAGGTCCACCAGTGGGGCCAGAACTTCAGAAGCCCCCCCCCCCACTGTTGCCCCCCAAGCACTAAGAATACAGAGCATCACTGACCCAGACAGAGTGCTCCATCTATACTTTGTGGCTAATAGCCACTCATGGACCTCTGCTCCATAGGTTTATCCAATCCCCTCTTGAAGCTGACTATGCTTGTTGCCACCACCACTTCCTGCAGCAGTGAATTCCATGTGTTAATCACTCTTTGGGTGAAGAAGTATGAACACTTATTATGAAATCCAGTCCTACGATTGCACAGTTTCCCCTCACAGTAGGAAGATCATGAATAGCTGGTTCTCAGCCCCCCAAAATATATATTTACTTTGTGAGGGGCGGGGGGGGGGCAGCCAGGACCTCATGATGTGAACCCCAAAGGGAACCCCCTCATGGTTTTGCCAATGTAGGCCACTTGTTTGCGGGAACAGGGGAGGCCTGGAGGCATCTACCTGACCACTCTAGGAAAGAGTCAATAGGTGTTTTGGCCTTGCCTAGGAGTACTCTTCTGAAATACCAGAACCCCTTCTCTGGAATATCTATTATACAAAGATAACTGCAGCCTCTAAAGAGATTACAAGAGCCACATCTGAGCTCAGCTCCAGAAGAAGCTTCTGCACCTCCCAGATCTCAGGTCCCCGAAGGCCTCCTTTCCTCCTTACCCATCAGGTAGGCCTCTCCGTCCTCCTCTTCCTTGATATCCATCAAGGGATGCCCCCACGTGGTCTCGGACGGAGGGTGGACTGTCTCAGAGTTGTTCTCCGTCTCTGCCTTCAGAATAATCAAGGATTAGGAATCAATACGAATTCAATCCCTTCACAATAGACTACCGTGTTTCCCCGAAAATAAGACACTGTCTTATATTTATTTTTTCTCAAGAAGACACACTAGGGCTTATACCACAAATGCATAGAAATCTTGCTAGGGCTTATTTTTTGGGTAGGTCTTATTTTCGGAGAAACAGGGTACACTTGCCTCCTAAACTTTTTTTTACAGTCTTCAACATGCAAAAATACGTCACTGACAGCACCCAAACAAATAAGGCACAACCACCAAGAAGGTCCCAAATGTATTTTGGAACTGTATAGGAAGAAGGATATGGGAGGAAATCTTCAGGACTCTGATAGTCAAAACCTTCAGATGGTATTCCAGGCCACACTTATGACCTGTGGAGATGGTAAGGGGGAGGAATCTAGAGCACCCCCAACCCCAAGATCTGCTCTTTCAGGAGGAGGGTCACCCCATGAAGTCCGGCCAAACCCTGACTCCTAGACTGAGAGAGAAGGCCTCCCCACCCCAAAACACTGGATTCAGCTTCCAAGGAAACAAGGCAACAGACCTTCCCATCATGCCCTGGATGGACTAAGATCTCAGACTTGCTCCACCCCAGTCCTTCCCACACTCAGAACCAGCAGAGCAGAACAGCCTCACCTGCTTCTCCTGCCTCAAGAGGAGCTCCTCGGCCAGGGCCACCGCCTGGGAGCAGCTCTCGGGGCCGCTCTCCCTCACCCGGCTCTGGATCTCCGGGGGCAGGACGCTCAGCAGCTGCTCCAGGACCAAGAGCTCCAGGATCTCCTCCTTGCTGTGATTGGCCACCCTCAGCCACCCACGGCACATTTCCCGCAGTCGGCTGTAAGCCCCCCGTGGCCCCTCGGCATCTTGGTAGCAGAAATGTCTGAACTGTTGACGCTTCTTCTCCTGGCTCAGGGCATCCCCTCGCAAGATGGCTGCCTTCACCTTCCCATAATCATCTCTGTCTCTCACATCCAGACTATTAAAGGCCTTCTCAACTTCTCCACTGACGGCTGGCTGGAGTCGGGTCGCCCACTCTTCCTGGGGCCACTGACAGGCTTCGGCCACTTGTTCGAAGGAGGCCAGAAAGGCCTTGGCATCCTCCCAGGGGGATGGTTTCCCTGGCAAACATGGGATTCCCCGCCCAGTGTGAGGGTTTTCTACTGTCCTGAGAAACTCCTGCCACTGAACTTCCCACTGCTCAAGAGAAAAGAAACCATCCCTGGCTTGCTGGTTCATCAGATTTCCTAGCCTCCTTTGCGGGAATTCTTCGCTACTCCCAGCCTGGAGAACATGAGGGGATTTTGCTCTATCCTCCGATACTCCCACCAATTTGGCTATCGAGGGGTCTCCCTTCTCCATTTTTGCTCCTGGATAACCCCTCTGTGATGGTGCTGCAGGACGGAAAAGCCTAGAATGTGTTCTTGTCTTCCGGAGTGAGCCTCGCTCTGGAGAACAGAAGAAACAGGAATGGGAAAGGGAAAGGAAGATCAGGCACAGAGAAGAGGTCGGTTCCTGGCACAGTGGCCCCATGTGATTTTTCTGCCCATGTACATAAATCATACACAAAAGGGCATCTGATGGCCAATGCTCCCTCTAAGCTCTGGAGTCTCGTGAGCAAAAATTCTGCTTTGTGAGCTACTGGCATTAAAGTTGTGAGCGAGCAATTTGGCTGCTGTATAAATTAGTTTGCACTAGGGGCCCTCCTTCCTGAGCTAAGACCAAAATGCGTGAGCCAGAGGCTAAAAAACTGTGAGTCAGCTCACACTAACTCAGCTTAGAGGGAACACTGCTGATGGCCCTCTCAGCTCCCCACCCACCCCACTTCCATTAGAGGGGCCCAAGGTGCTTTCAGTTATGGCGTGGGTTGTGGGTGGTCACGGTGGCAAAGTTAACAAATAACTGTGCTGGACTATTTGCTGCTGTTACAGAGGAAGCCTGGAGAGGAATCTGAGGTAATATCTATTGCTTTCCCCTCCCCTTCTCCTGGAGCGATTCACACCAACACCTCCTTTTCACAACACAAACTATAATCTTTTTTGTCTCTTCTTTGGAAAGGTTTATGCTTAGTGGTTTGGTAGACAAGACAAGGACTGTAACAAGTTATTGGCCGTATACAGGAAGTTTTTGACTATTTATAGCAGAACTCAGCTTTCAAACATTTACAGTTTCACACACCAACAGCTTTACTGAACTTTTTTTTTTAATTTTTAAAATTCATTTTAAAATAATCATTAACAACAATTAACATCAAAAGCATTAAACAAGCAACAACAAGATATAAGGATCAAGTAGCCTCAAAAGTCTATTATGTAACAGTAAAAACTATTTTAACATTTTTGAACATTTAATGACCAATAATGAAGAGTATGAACTGACAGTTTCTGCCAGAGAGCGAGTGAGCGAGAAAGAGAGAATGATTTCACTGGGAAATTCTCCTTAAACCCATGAATTTCAGCTTATTGAACTAGGGATAGATGAAGATGGGTAGCCGTGTTAGTCCGTGTCTGTAGCAGTAGAAAAGAGCAAGAGCCCTGTAGCACCTTAACGACTAACAAAATTTGTGGCAGGGGAGGAGCTTTCGTGAGTCACGGCTCACTTCTTCAGATACCCGTATATTTGGAGGACCATATGGAGGAGAGGGCAATAGAAGGACAGGAGGGCCTGGCATGACGTGGTCCATGGGGTCACGAAGAGTCAGACTTGACTGTGCGACTGAACAACAAAATGGAGGAGATGGTCCTTCAAATATGTGGGTATCTGAAGAAGTGAGCAGCCAGCGACTAATGAAATCCCCCGCCACAAATTTGGCTAGTCTTTCAGGTGCTACGGGACTCTTCTCAGCTCCAGCTTCCTTTTCAGCATCCTGTCTAGGAAATCCAACACTTTGACTTTAACCCTTTACCAATCCTTTTTGGCACAGAGAAAAATTATTTTGTTCTCATCACTTTTAAAAACAACAACACACACACACACGTCTTTTTTTCCAGCCCATTCTTCCATTCAGGAAAATCTGTGCTGAAATCCCAGTAGTGGAAGGTCTAGATATGGATGTCCAGCAGGGATAGCAAAGCATTCTGTTCATGCTCAGAGGGAGAACCAAAGAAGATTATGGAAGGCAGATGGAGACTCTATGATGGTCCCTCAGGAACCCTATAGTATGAAGGGTGATGTTACCTGA